AAAAGTCTTCGTCCTTCAGCCTGAGGAAGACTTGTCAGAACTAGAGGGGATTCGATTATATGGTGCTTTTTCGTGTCTCCATTGGAAGATCCAGACCTATCGGAGCATCCGTGGGGAGAAGTCGAATGATTTTCGGGCGAAGGGGAAAAACCCGGACCAATTTTCACATTCTCATCGGCAATTCCAGTTGGACGATAAGCATCACGGAGTCCGATCTGGGGTTGATCCCGCTTCAAAACACCACCATTGTTCCGCCACTTTGTTTCCTGTCTACTTGCTGCAACACCCAAAGCAAAGGAACATATCCATTGTCTTTGGTAGCAGAAAGGACCATTGTTAAAAGGTGAATCAGGTTGTGACTGATGGTTGGTTTGGTTGGTTGTCTGATCGGATGATATTCGTTGTTCCTCGGCCAAGCACGGAATCCCCCCCACACGTGACTCCCCGGGAAAGAGAGTCTCCGCAACGGCCACAAGAGTCATTCACCAAGCTCCTCCACTTTCTTCGTTTGCGGCCCTTTGCATCGACCTTTCTAGTATATATCTGGGGAAATCGAAGTTCATCCCACATGGGTTACTGAATGTTTTCGCTCTAGATATCAGGCTTCGCACCTTTTGTCTTGCTCATTCGCTTTTGACCCCCTCATCTCCTACTCCACTGGTCCCGAGTCATCTGCACTCCGCCATCCGTTAGCGGAGCAGTCTACCTCGGTAGTAATCATCCCGACTTTAAACGCCTCCTATCTCCCCAGCTACAAGCGCCCATTATTGTCAGCTATACACTATACCACGCAGTGATCTGCTCTCTGCTACGTTATTCAGGGATTATAGAAGTGACTCTCTCGGGCCTTCTGGCCTGATTACCTACAGACACCATGTGGAAGCCGTCGGAGAGGCTGATGGAGACCATCAGACATTATGCCAGCTTCCCCGCCACTGGTGTCTCCCTTCGGCAGATGGTCCAATTTGGAGACAGACCTTCGACTGGTATGTCCATCTTTTACCCTTTGAAACCTATTGATGCCATAAGTCATGACCCGTGGGCTTTTGAGCTGATCGCGTGACCTCTGTGTTGAAGTAGGGACTCTGTTTCGCGCCTCTCAATTCCTCTCCGAGGAACTCCCAATTCGACTCGCTCACCGTGTCCAGGACCTGGGGGAACTCCCTGATGGACTCAGCGAAATGCCCTCCATCAAGAAGGTCCAGGACTGGTATGCGCAATCATTCGAGGTATGACTCACCGCCCGCTCCATTCCGTAGCCCCCAATGCCCTGAACCCAAGCAAACCTCTGCCGGTATTCTTCATATCTAACATGAAATGAAGGAAATCATCAACCTGCCTCGGCCGACTCTTACCCAGGAAGTGAAATCCCGGCTGCTACGGCCAGGGAGAATTAATGGCGGTGCTTCGAAGATCCTCTCGGAGACCACCCAGAACCCTAGTATCAAGGAAGGGCAATATCGGTCCTCTCCCTCCTCGGCATTGAATCATAATGGAAATGGAAAAGCTGCTGCCGCCGCGGCTCGAAGATATTTTGTACCTTCCGACGACCAAGGCAATTGGCCTCCGGAGTTGAATGACTACAACGAACGCTTCGCAAAGACTCTCGAGCAAATTAAACGGCGACACGACAGCGTTGTAACCACGGTGGCTCAGGGTATCCTGGAATGGAAGCGTAAACGTCAAAGACTACAGATCGACTCGACCGTGCAGTCCTTCCTCGATCGATTTTATATGTCTCGGATAGGTATACGTATGTTAATTGGCCAACATATCGCTTTGACAGAACAAACGCACGTCCGCCATCCAAACTACGTTGGTATTATCTGTACGAAGACAAATGTTCGTGAAGTCGCCCTCGAAGCTATTGATAACGCCCGATTCGTGTGTGAAGATTACTATGGTCTTTTTGAAGCTCCGAAAGTCCAGCTTGTCTGCAAAGATGACCTGAACTTCATGTACGTCCCCGGCCACCTGTCTCATATGCTCTTCGAAACCCTGAAGAACTCCCTGCGTGCAGTGGTGGAGACCCATGGGGCAGACAAGGAAGCTTTCCCAGTCACCAAAGTCATAATTGCCGAAGGAAAAGAAGATATCACTATCAAGGTATCCGATGAGGGTGGTGGAATTCCCCGTTCTGCTATCCCCTTGGTTTGGACGTATATGTACACTACGGTTGAGCAAACACCCAATTTGGATCCCGATTTTGACAAAAGCGACTTCAAAGCCCCCATGGCCGGCTTCGGGTATGGATTGCCTATCAGTCGTTTGTACGCTCGGTACTTTGGTGGGGACTTGAAATTAATCAGCATGGAAGGGTAAGTCTTTTTCCGTTCCTATTTTTATCCAGCTAGATCTGACTAGTTTAGATATGGTACGGATGTCTATCTTCATCTGAATCGACTATCCTCGAGCTCGGAGCCCCTGCAATGACAATTACCAGTCATGAGGGATGGTCGTGTCCGGTTCTCTACTTCCCATAGACTTCATCCTTTCTATTCAGAACCGGATCCACCACCATCTCAAGGATTGACGCCGATGAACATTCGGGCCGTGCGTGCACGCATGCAAAACAGGGAAGTTTCTACACGTAAGCAAGTTGGCGATGTTGAGAGTCGTCTAAACGCTGAAAGGCCTGGAAACTAAGCCAACCACTTACTTGCGAACACTAATGGAAGTGCTAATGCTCCCATCGAGGGCACACTTGTGGGCCAATCGCGGCTGACAGCGAGCTTTATTGATTGGGAGCTCTCTGTGAGTTGACCACTTTTGAGTGTTGAAACCATCGCCTTCACTACTCATTGCTTTGTCACACGTGTGTGGATAGACAAAAGCGTATGTTCTGTTTTAAGTAAATTTTGGTCAATCTTGCCTGAATGCGGGTACATTTGACGGCCACGACCGACCCTCTGAGAATGATGGAAACAGAGGCGGTTTGGTCTATTGATACCCTTGGGTACCCATCCAGGAGATAAGTTTGGAAAGGTGGCTCTGGTGATCTACACTTACATAGAGGGTAGAGCCTATATTGCTCCTTTTGCTTTTTTCTTATTTTTTTTTCTTTTTTCTTCTCTTTTTGCTTAGCTATGCTCTTGTCTGTCTTTTTTGTATAGTAGATTATTGGGACGATCGGGATATTTTACGGATGGTACGGTCTTAGGGATGTATACATGAGCCATTGTGAATATTCATTTCATTTCATTCATGTTAGTCGTCCAATCAAAGCACTCCACATAGGAGACGTAGAATCCATAGTCGGCATCTCCGGAACTTCTAAGACAGCAGTGTCGAGCGCCAAAGTACGGGGATATATGGAAGAACTCAAGGCGACGAAATCCCATAATCCTCCCTCTCCGCACCACTCCATCTCCTCCTCCTCTCCCTCTCTCGCAACTGCTGCCCGCGACCCGCCGACCCAGAAACAGAACTAGACGCAGGCGACGCCTTCCCCTTCCCTCTCGTCCTATCGGGCGTCGACAACCGCCCCTTATTCTTCGACGACGAAGCAGGCGACGAGAACGCCGACGACGACCCACCGGCATCGGCGGGCCGTCGCCACCCCGCATCATCAGTTTCGTGGACATCAACAACATTCCGGTGCACGACTAGAGGTGGATTACTCGGAGACGGAGAAGAATGATTCTGGACAATGAAGAGGTCATTGCGAATAGAAGCTGCGACCTCGGGGTCCTCCGGGGCGATGAGCTTAGAAAGGAAGCGACGGCGCGCTTGTGGGAGGGTCTGTTATAGTTAGAATTGAAACAAGATTTTGATATTAAACTTTCTGACAAAAAAGAGTCGCGTATAGTTCTCGACGTAGGGTGAAATCCCCCCAATGATGATAGAACCTCATTGAAAAAGCAAACAAATGACTTGAGACCAATACAAACACGCACCTCTTGAGCAGCCAACGCTTGCATAGTGAGAAGTTCGCGGTCCATTAGGACACAAAGCGCGGCATGTCTTTCCTCGCGGAGACGACTGCGCACTTTCTTCTCCTGTTCGATGGTCGTGTGGTAGGTTGTTAGTGGGCCGCGCAGACGATCGGAGTCATATCCTGGGGGGATTAGTTTGTGTGCTTTTTTTAACCGTTCGATGGTGATTGGTAAGTTGTGTGATAGGCTCCAGATGATAAGATGGATGCTCTGTAAGGATTAATGTAAGGAGATAGGAGGGCTTACTTGGGTCAATCCCATGTGGATGGTGTTGGCGTCCGGAGTAATCGACGTTCATGTCTTCGTCTTCGCTTTCGTCGTCGATCACGATTGGATCACGACTGCCTGGGACGGGGAGGTTGCGGTTGAACATTTTGGTTGCTGGGGGGTAGAACGAGATTTGGGCACGGGCTGATATCGTGCGATGCAAATTGAGACGTGCGAGATTGGGTAGTAGATCGCCAGTAGATGGTCAGAGTAATGGGAGTAGGCTTTTGGCTGATAGGGCTTCCACAGCGAAAGATGGGCAACTCCGCAATACGGACGCTAGCACTAGGGAAGTGCTTGTTGTTTATAAGAAGGATGTGCGCAAGATGGTATTGTGCAGAGCTTTGCAGTCATGCAATGCAGATTGTATATCTTGATCATTAGTTTAAGTAAGACAGCCAATCTACTAATCGTCTACTCACGGTATACACTTAAGAGGCCAGTAGATGGTATTCTCCCGAACCAGAAACGGTAAGAAACGGGGACGTGCGTTGGACAAGTTATGTGTTAGGACAACAAGAAAACACCACCGCTGTCCAGCAGGGCAGATCGATAAGCTGATTGAGGCGACTCTTGACTAGCAGTCCGTTGTTCTGGATAAAGCAGAAACGCTGAGAAATGGACGTGGTGCCCATGTGACGCCAAAGCCGCTTAGTCATGGCCAATCACATCGCGATGAAGTAGTTTGTTTACATGGGATCGACTGTATGGAGTCAGACGAATTGCACGGAGTACACCTTGATATTCAATATAATGCTTCTATTTTCATAACCAATGCGAAAATGGGTAGGGACCTCAACATGACTATCTCAAATGCGAAGCGCTTTTTACGCCCTGCAATTCGTACATACCACACAGTCTCGTTTTCGTCGGTAAGAAGACGGTCCATGAATCGTCGGACAACGTGTTCTATCGTAAAATAAGGGCGCAGTGATTCGAGCCCCCACAAGTTCTGTTAACAAAAAAGGAAAAGTTGGAAAGGAGGGGAATGTCAAAAGGTATACAGACAGAAGATGACAACGATAATACACATGTAAATGCCAGCATGCAGAGTGAAGAAGACAAAACAAATGAGCCCGACATGCGTCCGTCAGACCGAGCGGGACGCGCACACGAATGCGACCAATTCCAGGTCGGGCAGCTCTTTGCAGAATGGAAATCATAATGCCCACCGAACGCCAAAGCACAATGCCGCTAAAACGACTCGTGAGGTTCCGAAGACGCCGTTTAGCAAGAGAGGATATAAGTGAACATGGTAGTATACACCATCGAGACAGTGGTGATACGAAGTTGGTTGGTACAAAAAGGACCGGCTATGTACCCAAAGGGTTTCAAAAATGTTTCGGGCAAAAGTCTCGGCGGTTGAAGGGATACAATAGCTGGAAGGGGAAATGACAAAACTCAACATCCATGCATGAATGAGTTTTTGGGCCATTCATATCCAGCATCGGACCTTGCACTCGTCAGTAAAATTATCACCCGAGACTTGTGAGAATGTGGTAGGCTTACCATGTAGTTTTGTTGACGTTCTGGTACGCCTTGGGGTGTTTCGCGATATACTCCGTTGTTTCATAGCCCGGTGGGTCGCAGGTAAGGCTAAGATTGTCTGGATCCTGGTAGATTCGGAGGTAATCGAAACGCATGTACCCAGGCATAAATTTCTTAATGTTTTCATCTACTGGCGCGAAACTGTATGCCATACCCAGGTTCATGATGATCGACAGCGGTTCCATAGGAATCATCCGCTGGCCGATGTTGCCGTTGGGCCCGAGGCTCTACCGTCGAGTGTCCATGTCTTATCCTGGCCGACATACCAGGTGATATTGCCACGAGCTCCTGGGGTGTAGTCGAAGGCGTATACCTGGTATTGTGTTCCGTTGTACCAGTCGTTATTGAGGTTGCTGAGTCCAGACATTGCCTGTTGGTACGGCCCGCCGCGATAGCTGTTAATCTCTGTGATCTTGTGATCGTACACAGCTGTGTATTCTGTCATACCATTAGCAAGGCCGAACTTCCGTAACCCATATATTACGAGCACGTACCATAATCAGGCATATACCAAACATCGAATGGGGCCATTTGCAAACTTTGAGAAACCGACCCTACCATCGTCGCCGCATCACCGTTCAAAGCGGCAACGCTAGCTTCGATGACATCGATTTCCGGTGCACTCCTTGACTTGCCAGGGGAAGGGTGTTCTGCACTGTCACAGGCGCATGCAGGTAGACGCATTCCAGGTAACCAACTCAGACCATCCGTAGAGCTTTGGTTCGGGGTAATTCCAGCATCACAACCATCATAGTAGCTGTACGGCCACATTCCTTCCGTGGTGGCGGCATACCCCGGGCGCCTAGATTACCCATTGCCCAGAAACCAGGCCAGAAACCGGACACTTCACCGTTTCCGGGAAGGGATATGCTTGCTTCCAAACGACCGCCCGTGAAGCATAATTTATTCCAACTCTGTACCATGCCGGACCTATACTTCATTTCATGATTCGGGAATGCATCGAACCGAAGCTCCAACACACCATCTCTCGTAGTAACTGCATCAGGATCGTACCACTGCCGAGTGTCAGCTGCAGACAAACCGTAGGAAACTGTTCATCAGAACAAACCTCGAGATCCTGCGTCACACCGTACCAGATATCAACCGCCTGAAGAAAAGCATCGTCACCGTCATAAAACGACCGCCCCGGTGTGTTGAACTCATCCGAAAACTAGGATGATCAGTGACAGATTCAGACAACTCGTCCAAAGTATCTAAACTCACCACCAGCTTCCATTCCTTGCCATCAGCCGACATCTTCGTCATTGCGGACTCCGGAGTGTCCGGGTCTATCAACCCGCGCCGCACATTTTTGAGTAATGACCTCTCTCCCACATCAAGACATAACGTATCCCCAGCTTTACAGATGGAGCCCGATTGTTTCTCCATCCCTTTAACGGCAGTACTACAAAAGATTAGTTTCCGCGCCCGCATCTGTCCAAATGGAGTTATAGGTCATACAAAACAGGATACCCAATGAACAGCATCAGGAGACCCAGCGTCAACAAGACTAAACCTCCGCCGTTGATTATTCCTCGTCGGTTCCAGATGTCACAGTCCCGTTCTTTGTCGTTCGGATCCGGGTTGTGCAAATAATCGTCCTTCTCCACATCCTCTGGGAATAAAAGCAGCCCTTCTGACGGCATGATGTTGAACTTCTCCGTAACCGTTTGTGTATTCACATCTTCCGCATCACCCTCTCCCTGCGAGGGAGATCTCAGGTCCTCATAACGGGGGTAGAAGTAGCCTCTGCTCTCACTCCCACCTTCCGAGCTCCAACTTGTCCGTCTCGACGATTGCGCAGACAAATCCGGAGATTGAAACCCTTCATACTGTTCCCGATGCCTTTGTGGCCGCGGCGGCAACAAGAAATCTGTTGAGTCCTGTGGGGTCGGCGAACCCATCCCAGTCTGCATGGTCATGAATGTCCCTGTGGACGCTGAATTCGACATGCCCGGTGTCAAGGCGCGTCCAACGCCCGCATGACTAGGGACCGGGGGGTAGGTCTCGTCTGGATCACTGAATGGATCATGCTGGCCCGAATTCAGTCGAATATGAGGAGTTTCTCGCACCGATTGGCCCATAGGATTGTCCGACATCTTGCAATCCGTTCGTTTGGATTGCGCTGAGGGTGGTCTGTCAACGCTGTACTGTTGCCCACGCGGATCTGGCAATTAATGGAAACGCGGGGCCTAATTCACTTCCAACCGTCTTGATAGTGCTTCTCTCTCAATCCCGGTCTCGTCGCAAATGATATCGACGATGCGCACTGAATGGCAAGTATATCCCTAAACCCTTGATATACAACCAATCAAACAGCTGCCCTCCAGGATTCCATCCAGATGTGTACCAGCAGACTGTAGCTGTGTCCCGATGCTATTAATTAGGTATTAATACACCCTGACGCTCGGTAATGACTGGCTCCGAGACAAAAGCGGAAAAAGAGCGACGAATAATGCGATATGGGTATCAAGAGGGAAACAAGACTACGAACGAGTGGACAGGACGTTAGATCCCGATGCGCATTTGTCTCTGGAAGATTGGAGGACGACAGGAGAACAGGCGGTATTAGTGTAGCAGAACCAAAACAATCAGACGGGGTTAGAGAGTGTGTATGTAGTGAGGTGAATGGGCGGTGATGGCGGACAGCGAAAGGGCAGATTGACGTTTGGACGGAGAGGAGGGGGAGAGGAAGAAGAAGAAAAGCAGACAGAAACAAAGAAAAGGCACCAGCGGGCGCAATGGAATGAAGGTCAGGATGCCACAAAGACCTAAACTACCTACCCAGAAGAACAGTAAGGAAAGGGAGTGGAGAGCGTTCAGGTTGTCAATGCCAATCCCTGTTTGGCTTATTCCTACATAGCATGGCAAAGCTTTTTTTATTTTTTTTAGAAAATAGAAATCAAAAAAAAAATTACTTTCCTTCTCCAAGGTTATACCTAAACAGTTACCAGTAATAATAAATGATAGTAATAATTATTATTATTATCCATAGTAATAATACAGTGCGGTAGAGAAAGCAAACGACAAATAACAATCCATAGAACAATACTGGACCATCATGAAACCATCCAAAGACAGCAGGAATCGGCATGAAAGGCACCACTGATGGTCCTGTTGTTATCAAAAAGATACAAGACCACAAGAATGCTTTAAAATAGGTCCTCTCTGGGGATCATTGGCCACTAGGGCCCCTGCAGGTGGGGATGGTCGCCCATAATTTTTTGGGCGATTGACGACCGAGGGAAATGAGTACAGAAGGTGGCCCGGTGGCGTCTGCAGGTCCTTTTGGCTAACGTTGGTTCGACGGCGACGAGAAAAAACGCAGGTACTGCGCGGCGAGTATGTTTGTTTCCTCGGCGGTCTAGACTTTAACCCTTCAGGGGAAATCATCCAGTTCCCACCGTTTGTTCCCCTTCCCGTTGAACCCCTTGGCTGGTTCACCGGGATATTTCATAGCTGCCTCAAACCGAAGCATCCACCCCACCAAGTGAGTTTCAGGAATGCTCAGGAAGAATTTCGTTGCTACAGACCATGAGAAATGGGAGCCTGTTCCATGGAATCTCAAGATCGTTGTCAAGTGGACCAGTGAACCCTAAGACTCGGCAACTAAGCGTTATTTGACCGTCTAGCGCCATATGGAAGTTTTTAGTGCAGGGTTCATCCACCCGGTGGATTCGGTATCGTATGGTAATACTCCGGGCGAAAGACTGACTACTAGTACTACACAGTAGTACGACAGTAATATAGTAGATATACACTAATATACACTGATGCAAACCCCTACTATTTGCTACTCATCAAGTGAGCCCTATATTAACAACTGACTCTCAGGTCTCTTTGCATCCAACTCTTCGATTCAATGATTGACACGCCGAGACCCCTTCCAGAAGAACCTAACCCGAGACCTACTTCCGGCTTCACTCTGAGACGACCGCTGATCCTTTGGAGAGCAAAAGAAAGAGAAAGAAGAAGATAAGAGAAGGACAGGGCGAAGCGAACAATATTCTCTCCGATGAGTGCCTCACATGGATGCTCCTATATATAAATCATTCCCGAACACGCGTCCTGGCTCTTAACCTTAGGGCTCTGGATAGATCAGATCTACCCTGTGACAAAGCACGACCCTGTCGTCATCGCAACAGACAGGCCACTGGGCCAGAAAGAAGGAGGCAATGAGGCTGAATAGCCGTGGAGTCTGGAGGAAATGTATAGCATACTCCATGGCGAATTGTCTGAGTTCCGGAATCTTGAAACCCATTGTTTCCTCTTCCCCTCATTCCATCGGACAAAGCTCATAGCAACCTTCCGTCATTCCTGGGGACCTTCCGTCATCCCGCGAGAACTCTCAAAACAAGGTAAGAAGTACGAAGACCAAGAGATTCCCATTGACACTTATATTGTTTTCCTTGGGTCATTACTTTTGACTGACACCGGTGGTCAATCCCTGTAAAGTACGGTGGTGATCTTTCCTCCTGGCAAAGATCATCAGCAGATCACCCGAGATGCGTTTGATGTCAGCCACATCTCCTACACAGATGACAGTGACGCATCTACCAAATCACCTATGAGCTGCAAATAAGCTACAACACTTCGATCAGCCTCCAAAGGATGATGTGTCAGTTCCCAAACCTTCCTAGGGACCGGAACAGCGCAGTGTCGGCAACGGCAACGGCTTGAGATGCATTCGCCGGGGAGAACACCCACGACCCAATCACTGTCCACACCATTCGGGACAGTTCAAATCCTTTCCAGTAATGATCAGAGGTCAACAATGCTTGGCTTCTTGGTATACATGAGTATTTAAGGCACTCCTGCTCCCCTGCACCGTCACCTCCTTCAAGATACTGTCGTACCAAAGCAATACCTTAGCGCGGCTCGCCGTTTACCTTGGTAATTTAGCAGGACAACCCTAATATCCTTAGTCTGGCAGGGGACGCGTGTTAAACCCATCCATCCCGAGACATGCCCCAGTTCGATGGTCCCATGCGCCATGCGCCATGATAACAATCGCCCGAACAAAAATAACACCAGTAGTCTTTTTCCTCGCAGTGGGGCTGATTTTGTTTCCTCAGCTGAGACAGTTTGCGTTGTCGATTGTGCAAATTGTACAGGACTATGTGATTGTCCTCCATGTGAGAGTGCGAAACAAATCAAAAATACAATAAAATACATAAAAAAGAACATCTTATCCTGCCCTTCCACCTGCACCAAGAACAAGGACGACGAACCGCCCCTTGCTCATATCTTCTCTTAGTATTGTATTTTATTTTTTATTGTTTTTTGGTTCTTTTATTTTTTCTTTTTTTATCTTTCTGCCTATCACCTTTCCCTCTTTGTACTACACAACCACACAAACAGCATTATCGATGCCTAGAATCAAACAGCGAAATCAAAAAGACTTCCAATGGCACCTCCAATGAGTAATAGAAACCCAAGCGCAACTCCTACAGACAGATCCCCATAAACCCCAACTCCACACCGGAGTACATACATACGTACGTCCATCCACCCACTAGGACCCCTTTCACGGGTTTCTTCAAAGACCCCAGTTCTACTTAAATCAATGGGGTTACATGCATGTCTCCCCAAACAAAAAGAACAGTTAGATGATGTCAACCCACATACAACCTATTTTTATCGTCCAAGAGATTAACAGTACAGTACATACATACATACATAAAAGATCTGTTCCCTCTTTCGTGTAACGGTGATTTAGTTTTTCTGTCGGTGTGGGGTGGGGGGGGGGGGGAAATCCTTTCTTTACTTTTTTTTGCTTGTGTGCTAAATATACTAGTATTGCGCCCTGGAGACAATGGCGCTGTTCGGACCACGAGGCTATCTTATCTTGACTGGAGGTGGGTAGTATTTCTTCTTGGGTGGTTCCTGGGGAATGGTATACATGGGATTGGGAAATAATTGTGCTGTGGGTTTTTATTGAGTCTTGTATTCCCGAGTCGATTCCTGGTAGTACTAATGCAAGAGAGTGAGTGGCTCGGGCCTTTGCTGGCTGCTTTAGGGAACAGGGTCTGTATGTATATCTTTGGGGGGGGACCTGGTATGTGTTCCGGCTACTCCTACTCGTTGGTTGGATGTGTAGTTCTTTTGGTTTTTAAATTTTGATTTGGACTTGGTGGTATTGCATTTATTTATAGGCTGTATGCGTAGTTTGTTCATGGTATGTATGGAGGGAGTATCTACTAACTTAGTCCAGTAGTAACCAACAGGCTTTATTCGTTGTGTTGGCATCGGGTACATTAGTATGTAGTATCGATGTGTATATAAAAGTCGACCAACGCCGGGATACCATGTTTAATACTGATTTTTGCCCTACGATGTTTCCAGAGTACCAAGGGACACAACGATATGCCTCGTACTCTAGACACTCCATCAGAAAGAGGGGGGAGAACGTGACTCAAAAGGTATAAGTATACAATTTCATTCCCACAGACACATCTCATCCATTACAATCCCCAATCCCCCACACATACACCCGCAAAAGACACACCAAGTAAAAAAGAGCAGCAAGAAAGCACCCCCTAAGTCTCAACAGCCTTCGTCCTCAATCCCACAAGCAACGACTTCTCCGCATCCACCGCGAGAATATAATACTCAATCCGCGACGACCCAACCTCAACCCGATAAACCTTCACATCCACCGCCGATTCATCCCCTCCAGACGACTCCGCCGCGGCGGCGCGCACCGCGCGCAGCGCAGACGGGTACTGATTCCTCGGATCAAACGAGGATGGCGAGAGAGTAGTGATCGATGATGAAAGATCCGCATTCGGCGAGATCAGACGGGACAGATGCGCTTTAGAAGAAGTAGTTAGCGTGAGAACCCACGTGGAAATGCCTGTTTTCAGTGGACTCTGCTCGTGAAAATCAGAAGAGTCACGTACAAGGGTCAGGGAAGATTCCTTTAGACGCGCCCTCCCATCGCAGTGCGACGGGTTCGAATGGTTCGTCGGTCTCAGAGATGTAGTAGGCGTCAACTGAGGTCAGGGGAGCCGGGACGTGGACGCCCGTTTCGACTGTTTCGGTGCGGACGGTGGGGGAGTCCTGCACTTGTTGAGCTCGCGCGGTGTCCAAGTCCGCGTTGGCCTTGTTCAGGAAGTTCATGTAGGCGTCGTCAGACATTGTGCGCGAGATGGTGGGTTGGAGAGGGGCAGCTGGTGAAACAGTGATGTTGTCGCGTGTTCGGGGAGGGCTCACGAAGAGTGGTCGACGAAGATGGTGGATTCGGCGGGAGGGCAGGGGACAGTTCTGGAGCGGAAGTTGGATGATTGAAGGGCGGAGGGGAAGTCTGTGGGCTTCTGGCGATGAGATTGAAGCCCAACACCAGATGCGATCAATGACGCAATGCCCTCGGCGGCTGAGCGGCATCGCGATTGGATGCTGCAGTTGTCCTGGAGTTTTGCCACGGAAGTTCGGCCTGGGGACGATCAGATTATAGGGCCAAGGACGGCCGCTAGAGTTCGATGGTGATGAGCACTACCCTAGAACAGAGAGGAGTAAAGGGCGTGAAAAAAGCCATGTCGTCCAAAGTTAAAGATAATTCTTCTAGACTGTGTTAGAGAAGCGCCAAGGCTTTCCCAACGCACAATGGCAAATGGATCCTACAGTACAAGTCGCCAGACATTGACATTCCTACAGGAGAATTTCTGTTCTGCGATTACGTTCTCTTGAGTGTCATAAAATTGCCTTGCAGCTACGTAAACCTGATGAAAAAGAAACTAACGATCTCCAGTCGGACCCTAGACTTGGAAGGTATTCGCTTTTTTATTGAAAAAATAAATAATTTGCACTACACCGTATCATATCCATAAACACCTTAAGCGGAAGTAACAAGGTCCTTCTTGAGGGTACCCAAGAAAGCGCGCTTCTCCTCGGGGGTCTGGAAGGCACCGTGGCCGAACTCGGAAGAGGTATCGACCCACTTGAGCTCGATCTTCTCGGTGGCCTTGCGGCTGGTCTGGGGGTAGAGGGTCTTGCGCAGGGTCATGACACGCTTCTTAACACCAGGGACGGAACCCTTGAGCATAACGAAGTCGTTCTTAACCTCACCATAGCGGACGAAGCCACCCATGCTGCAGAATTGTTAGTCACGGCACGTTCAGTCGTCACACACAAAGGTCGTGCCACAGGAGTACTTACGGAGTGATCTGCTTCTTGGAGATATCGAACTCGGTGGAGGCGTTAGCCTCGTCGGTGCCCTTACCGATACGGTAGACCTTGTGGTTGCAGGAGGTACGGTGGTGGTAACCCATCTGACCAGCACGGGCAACAGTCCACTGGACGTGGTTAGGGTGCCAGGCACCGATACAAGCAACCTTACGCAGACCCTTGTGAGTCTTACGGGGAAGCTTCTTGGTACCCCAACGGCTGGTGACACCCTGGAAACCGTGACCCTTGGTGACGGCAATGACATCGATCACCTCGTCCTTCTCGAAGACGGAGTCGATCTCAATGGTCTTCTCGAAGAGGTTGCGGGCGAAGTCAACCTTGTCGGCAACGGAGCCACCGTTGACCTGGATCTCCATAAGGTGGGCCTTCTTCTGCTTAAGAGGGGTCTTGCGGATCTGGGTGTGGGCGAGCACACGGACAACGGTACAGTACTTCTTGATGCGCTCAAGCTCGCGGGTGATGGAGGCACCGCTCTCCTCAGCATGCTGCTTGGCGTACTTGGTGAAGGCCTTCTTCTTGCTCTTGTACCAGTTCTTGTAGAAGCGGCGCTTGACCTCGTCGCTCAAGTGCTCAGCCCAGACGGTGGTGAGAGAGCGGAGACCACGGGGAGTCTCAATGTAACCGACGACACCGATAGCGACAAGCTAAATGAAACTCGTAAGTACGTTGCACTTCCGCACCCACTCGGGCGAAAGGATTGATAGGTGAAACATACGGGAGGGGTCTCGATGACGGTGACAGCCTCGACAACCTCCTTCTTGTGCATCTTGGCACCGGGTCTGTCAAGGTCACGGACAACAGTGGTCATACCGGCCTTGTAACCCATGGAGGCCGTCAGGTGGACGGGCTTCTTGGGGTCATCCTTGGGGAAGCTATCGCGGGTCTCAGTATCCTGCCTTCCAATATCCCAATTCAACATGAAAATTTTTGATCCAAAACTAACCTCTTGACCTTTCCACGGTGTCTGGCAGCGCGCTTGCGGGGCAGGTAGGCAAGGGAGCCTGTGTAGAGCTGTGTCAGTAGGACGCACACAAAACACACCCACGACCTCAAAATTCAAAGTCGTCCGAAAGAAACTGAACAAAGATTGACGAACCGTGCCGAGGCGCTTCGTACTTCCGGTGACTCCTGTTACAGAGAATAAAAATCAGCGATTTGATTCTTCTGAGGTCATGATGGCATTGCGCCAGCGTGGGAACTCACATCTTGACCCTGTTGTCGTTAGTCGTCGAAGTGGTGAGTGACAGTGTCTATCTCTGAATCGGCCGCAAAGTCATATTTTGCACCGCTTAACGAGTGTGGGCTGACCTAAGCGATGCCGCCGCTAACCCTGTTAAGGTTAGGTACCGCCGAGAGGGTAAGCGACTTCTGTTTATGCCTGAGGCACACGTATCATTCAGCCACTATTCCATTCGTAGTAACTTCAGCGGTTCCTCCTGACCCCATAACGTTGTTTCTCCAGGGAAAGCCCTATCAGTACGACTGCGGTGCCTTAGTACCACTAGGTTAGTACCTCTCCCGTCGCACATGGAGAATCGGCTCCGGGCGCTCCAAACACAAGCTAAGGGTCGTGCAGCAGCACCCACCCCAAATCTTACCGCCTTACTACACGTGAACTCGAAATTTACTATTTCATCAAAGTATCTTACTTAACCTAGTTTGCCATTTTCTGTTTTTGCTACCTTCAATCATCAAGAGTTAAAAGACTAAGACAGGAGAAGAGAACAGATGGGTTGTCGCAGGGCATACAAATGTAAGAAAACAGAAACATTTAGAAAATGGAATAGATACAAAAGCACAAAGTGGGAAACGTGCATCTCCTTCCTCATGTGCCGTTCGGAGTCATACAATACAGACCAAGTGGCTAAGATAGCAGACAAGGGTGAACGCCACCAGGAAATGGCAGGCCCAAAAGTAGAGAGAAATGAAGGAAAGGGGAGGTAAGGGGTGAAGTATATAGATAGTAGAAAAAAAAGGGGGCGGGAAATGGAAAAAGAAATTGAAGTAGAAGTAAGCGAAGGCAACAGGAAGTCTCAAAATGATAACTTCTTGTGAGCTTTTGGATTCAGGCTCAGTCCATAGGCAACATGGTACATTCATCAAAGGACACAGCAGGAAACACATTTTTTGATGTGGTATCCTAGGCTGTAGACTCCGGTTTTGACTGTGAAGTCTGGCTGCCATTGGTGGCATTGTTGGTATTACCCGACCCGCTGGCAGAAGGGCTGCCCTTTACAGCAGCGCTGGCTCTTTTATCATCATCGCCATCGTCATCATAGTTCTCGTCCACGTCCATCTTCCGTGCAGCTGGTTCATGAGCCGGGGGTTGCTCGCCGCGGGCCGGCTCCTCCTTAACCTGCACAGGAGCAGAAGGCCCAGGCTGTGGTCCGTTGGCTGCCGGAGCAGACCCTTCAGCCATGGGAGGAAGACCAGAGCCAGAGGCGTGTTGTGGCATGTGCTGAATGGATGGAAGCGTTGGAGGGTGATGAGCGGCCTCGGATGGATGGTAACTTTCGTTGATACGACGTTGGTCTTCGCGTCGAACTTCAGACGAGCTACGACGTTGCATCTCGCCGGGGGAAGGCATGCGGTTTGGGGGAGTGACACGACGAGGAAGCTGTTCATCGAGACGAGCACGGCTTTCCTCATTTGCAATCTTCTTAACGGGTGCGGACTCGGCTTCCCACTCGCGGCCCCGCTTCATCGCAGAGGCGGGACGATCTTCACGTTCGCGAGCAGCGGCCTCAGCGGCAGTGATCGCAGATGGAGGTGGGGGGGCACCGCCCGCAATTCCAGTGCTACCAGCGCCCTGTACAGGTGGCACGCTAGGACCATGATGATACTGCTGGTGTGGGTAGGTCGAACCAGGAGACGAGGGCCGCTCATCACGGATAGGCCTGATCTCAGTCGGAGGGGTGAAGGGGCGATGATAGGGGGGTAGAGGGCCGCCAGAAGTAGGAGCACCATTAGGCGCACCGGGAGCAGGAGGGGGCCCTGCGGGAGCAGGAGGTAACGGTCCTCGAGTTGCCGAAGGGAAACCGCCAGCACCACTAGGGGCACGCTCGTGAGACGGCGCAGGCGGGTTGGCAATCTGAGGAAGTGTATGTGCAGGAGCGTACACGCCCGGGCCGGCCAGTGCAGTCTTCGGGGAACGAGCTGCTGTAGGCTGAGGACGGACAGCGTCGGGGAAGCCCCTTCCTGGCTCCTGGCGTGGGCTGGGTTGCTGAATAGCTGGGGGAGCTCGAACCGCATCCCGGTGGTCAAATCCATTAGCCGCCTGGGCTTGAGCCTGAGATTGAAGTTCGTTGATGCCACGGTTCCAATCAGCGATCTGCCTCGGTGGAGCAGGGGGCTGGGGAGGAGGACCCCCAGTCGGTGCTGGTGCACCCCACTGAGGAGCGGGAGGTCCTCCAACACCTGTCTGGTAGGCCTGGGGGTGGACATCCTGAGGTTGCGGAGCCGGGGCATTGCTCTGGCTGGTACCTGATAGCTGACTCTGAAGGAGCTGCAGGCGGGCTTTGATGTGGACGTTGGTCGGATCCAGATCGGCAGCACGACCGTACGCGTCGAGAGCATCCGCAATTTGGTTGTTACAGGACTCGTACTGGATATAAAGTCAGTTTTGTCCATTGGTGTATCCTCGGGTATCCGTGAGCTTACCAAAGTTCCCAAATCATACCAAACTTCTGAGATGTAAGGGTTTAGGCGAATAGCACGCGAGTAGGCATCCAACGCATCGCGGTACTGATTGATTTGGTAGTAAAGCACACCAATGGAACACCAGAAAGTTGGGTTCCGACCATCCCGGTAGACGGCTTGTTGGTAGGCCTCGTAGGCCTTGGGATACTTGGCTTGGGACATATAGCATCGGCCCAGCAGGTACCAACTCTGCGCATCAGTGTTGTCTATCACAAGAACACGGTTAGACTCGTCTCATTCTCCTTTCAGACCATGTAGAAACCTACCTGCGCTAACCGATTTCTCAAGGTACTCGATTGCCTTCTCTTGGCTGGCGTAGCTGTTGCTCTGTTGGTGATATAACCACCCAAGCTGTTGCAAGACCTTCGCGTGATTGGGATCGCGATCAAGAACCCGTCTATAGGCTTGTTGCGCAGAATCAAACTGCCAGGGTTAGCCCGAGTCTAAAACCATGGTGGGTTAGGAAGCTCACGTCTTTTTGTTGCTCGTGGACATGACCGATCTGAAACCAGATGTCTTCCTCTGTAAGAGGACGGGGGGGATCGGTCACAATATATTTGAAGCACTGGAATTGGAGAATTAGGAAACCGGCCCAGTTTCGACTTCGACGCTTGGATACTGACCTCCAGACTCTGGTTGAACTTCTGCTGCTGCTTGTAAATTATTCCCAATCTGAAGTAAATCTCATTCGCCTTCTCGAAATCAGGCGCCATTCTCATGACCTGAGAGAAGGCTTCTTCGGCGTGATCGAGGGAGCCATAGCGATCGTAAAGGATACCGATACCGTACCACAACTTGGGTTCCTACCAAGACGAGCGTCAATTAGAGATGTCATTTCATGTGGCGAACTGGGCTAACATACCTTAGGATCACGCAGATGGTAGAGCGCCTGCTGGTAAGAAGTATACGCCTCTTGCAAGTTATCCATCATGAGATGGCAATGCCCTGGGCTGATAGTCAGTCAACTGCTCGTTGCAGGGATGCCGTTAGTAAGCACATACCCAAACTGCCCCATGTTTCGCCGCTCGTTGGGTCCAGCTTCAGAATGTTCTGCAAATACTCAATCGCCTTTGGGAACTGTTCCTTGGTCCGCAGTATACAGGAGATCGCGTTCATTGCAGGAATAGACCATTGATTATGCCGCAAAGCCTGTTCATACGCATTCATGGCGCCGTCAAGGTCCCCCATGAGTTCCGTTAGGCCACCTAAAGAAGCGGTCAGTGTACGTCGCGGGATAAACTAAGCTGGCTATTAAAAAGCCTGCGCAATATCTCAACATACCAATTTGAAGCCACACCTGTTCATTCAGCGCGGCAATCTTTTGAGCAGTGCTCATGGGAGGACCCTTCTGGCCTTGCGACTGCAAAGGCATGTGACCATTAACCTGTGGGTGAGCAGCAATATGGCCATGGTGAGGTGTGACGCCGCCCGTGGGCGATGGCTGGGTGTGAGCCATAGTGAGGGTGAGATACTAGAGGAACCGTAACGCAACCGAATTTCGAGATGTTGTAGCTTCGGATCCCATATAACCTGCGACACAATGATGCAATCTGAATCCGTGCCACTCACAGGTAGCTCTTCGCGCGTGCCAAGGCCCAACGGTTCCCGCAAGCGCGACTATTCTTTTCGAGGCCACTCCCGATGACAATCGTGCTTCGGCCGAGATTGTCAACTGAAAAAAGCCTTGGCGCCTTGACCAGAATGGTAGCAAGTTCCGTTCACGCGCTCCGGGAGTGAAGCTGATGTACGGCAGACGGAAGCGCTAAGGACCGCGCACAGGCAATCGTTCCGACGTAGCGCTGGAAGGCCAGCACCGTGAGACAGAAAGATTGAGAGAGTATGCGAAGGTAATATGAAAAGGGGGAGGGCCTCGGCCGGCAAGAGTTGGCGCTATGAGTAAGGCACAACCCAATAGCCGAGAAAGGGAGGGTGGGTAACGGAAGGGGAGAGGAAAGGAATTGAGATGCAAATAGAGGTAACGAAATGTATAGGAAGCAGGGGAAAGTCACCAACAGGAAAAAGCGAAGAAAAAGGAAAAGAAAAGGAAAGAAGCAGAGGAAAGCGAGAGAGGAGGAAGAAGAGGAAGAGGAGAGAAAGGTCGAGGGGCTGGTGGTAGAGGGTGAAATTTGCCAAGCGGCGCTAGTGGTTGTGCAGCTCTCGAGCAGTCAGCGAAAGCAAAGGAAAGCACGGAAAAAGGTGAGATGGCGGTCGTCCGGCGCCAAGCCGAAGACAGACAGCTTACGACCAGGAACGGTCTAGTGGGTGGGGACAATCTGGAGTCGTGTCCGCGGGTATTTACAGTTAATATTTTCCGGGCACCGGAATCTCAGGTGTGCGCATTTGAATGCAGGAGCAAAGTACAACAGGGTACAGGGAAGATCGTCTCCCTCGTTGACTTGTCTTACCCAAGGTCTTGATAGATCCCAGTCGAGTCAGTGCACAAATTTAATTTGACACGAATGGGGGTTTTCGTTAATTTTCTCTCTTTCTTTTCTACAAAGCCCTTCCATTGACAGTCTATTCGTATGTACGTTCATTATGATCTCAGCGACTCTATAGACTTGCGGATAAACGATTTTATTTTTTTTCGGCAACTCTAAAATTCTAGATTTTTGTGTGGCTTTTCCAACAAAGGAGTATGAGAGGGATGGAAAGAGGAGGCTCACGTTGGCAAGCGGGGCACAAAGTGTGATAAATACTACTAGGAGCATGGGCTTTAGTACAGGGAAGAGTAGCAAATTAAATTTAATTAAAATTAGAAGACGACGTAGACTAAAATATTAACTGTAGGAAAACGGAGTAGGTAAGTATGATCTAAGCGGGTTTAGAGAGAGAGAGAGAGAAATTCAGCAAAATTCTTTATTTTTATTTTTATTTTTTTATTTTTATTTTTTTTAGTTTCAATGGAGTCGAACCGTCCCGAAACAGGGCAGTGTCTGACGAGGATGCAAGCGCCGGAGCCAGAAAAGCAACTCCAGGGATTGCAGGACGTAAGTCGAGTAGCACGAACCCCCGGTTGTGACTCGCCGAGAGGCTGCGGGTGGACCATGGAACATGGACCCACCGACCCTCTTTTCCCCGTGCCATTATTTATTATTTAATAAAATATTGCAGTGTTTACGAAAGTGCCACCAATAAATCCTGACTGCCTTGGTGGGTCCTCAACCGACATACATGACTGGCGTATGGCCATAAGCTCAACTACCTAAGCTCCCGGCAGCCTAGTTAGGCATGAGGCAGTCTCCACTTGGGCCACCTGCAAATGTTGCAGTGGCCCCCAATAATCCCAGAAACTGGCGTCCCTCCTCCGTACTAACCGTCTGCATCTTAGACTGTGCCGGACCATACGCACATATGGAGTAGGACCCTCTGCGGCCCATTCTCCAATCCCCATGCTCCCAAACTCAGGAGCGAGTCACAACTGACGGATCTCAATACCAATATCCGGGCCAACCCCTCTCTTCCTCCACCCTCCTTCAACGTCTCTCTCCCCCCCTCCACCATCTGACACTGGCATACAAGAGTACGTCAACCTGGCTTGCATACCCCCGGTGATGGTGCGGTTGGGGTGAACGGTCAGTGCTCACGTACAGGGGACTGCTGCATATGTTGATATGGCTTTTTTCTTGTTTGCCATCTAAGCCCCCCTTCCCCTTTTTTCTCTAGGGCGCTGGGAAGTTATACGAAGAAGTCCATAATATGGGGATAGTAGGAGTTGTGCTCTATGTTTGGCTCCAGATCTACACCAAGACGTAGCGATTCCTTCGAAAAGACGACGCAGGCGGCTATGGGAGTTGATACTACCCAAAGCTTTTTTCTTTTTTTAAATTTCTTTCCCCCTTTACCCTTTCCTCACTCGCTTCGTACTTTGCCTCTTCCGTCATGGATCGCTGAGACTCTGCGGCAGCTGTGCTTACTTAAGAACTTAGTCACCTGACAGGCCAACGCACAGGAAATGCCACCAGCCACCCTGGCGGCAGCCACAGATTCCATCAAGTGGGGCCTTTCCGATGCTGATCCGTCGGCTTTTCAGTTGATCTTGATAAGTTGATACATCACCTGAGTGGGCCGATCTTTTCTTTTCTTTTCTTTTTTTTTTGTTTACTATTTTTCTTTTCCCATTTTCTGTGATTAACTCCCTTCCACAACAATGAATAATGGGCCGTTCGAGAGATGCCAGACTCCCCACTAGCACATCCACACACACCCACACTATCTCCCATTCCTTCGCTTAGGTAGTGCTTTGTTCCCACCAGAGGGTCTCTAACTTTGAAGTTTCTAACGCCGGGAATCCTAATTAACTTTAGGCGGGCCACCCGACATCGTTAACCCTTTCCCTTGTTAGGGGGAAAGTGGTCTCCTAGCGTGAGTCTACTCCGTAGTTCACGCTCCCCTATACTGAATAGCTCGGCGCTCCGTTTTTTTTCGGGGCCGAGTCTCAGCCCTGGCACCCTGTACAACGATGAGCACCACCCATCTCATCTCCAGGGATTAAGACTTTGACTATGATCGAATGATCGACTCCACTAGTATTCAAGCTACCTAGTGCTCTGTGTGATGTACGTAGTATAGAGATAAGAATAAGAACACGTAATCGGGTAGAAGGTTCCCATTCCCAGAACATTCTGCTCGTGGGGAATGCCTTCATTCTTGGACTGCGTGTACTGAAGTCACGTGATGACTCTTCAGGTGACAGCTGGCTTCAAACAATAACGGACAGCCCAGGTTCGGTACTAGGAGAGTCGGAAAGCAATACCATACTCATACTATTCCTATACTGGCTCCCCCGTATTCAGCACGGTATTTCCAATCCTGCAATTCTCATGACAGCAATCCGCCATGGCCTGGGATGTGTCGATCTCTATTTTAATCAGGGCTGTGGTCTCTCTTTAAAACCATCATAGCGCCATTAAGCCCAACGGTTGTTTATTCTCTATTTTCACCTATAGCAAAGGATCGCGCTAGTCTCATATCTTCACTTGTGAGTATGTCAACAGGTCTTGATTGAGAACGGAGCAGGGCGGGTGTCCTTGAAATATACAGAAGCCCTACAGAATGCTAGTAACATTAGCCATCGAGCCAACATGGCACCCTCCCAGCATACCGATCTATAGATTGATACTTATACACCATCCCCCATATTCAGATAAATCTTCTGATCTTCTTCTTTGCCCGTCCCGGGCAATGTAACATCCACTATGCCGAGCACATACCTAGCCAAGTCCAGCATAGCCGCGCACCTGAAACAAAAGGTCCTAAAAAAGGGTCGAAAACGGAGCCAAGTCGACTCGAGCACATCAGAAGCCAAAATCGCAGGCCGAATACAAGAATGACGATCAATGAATGCCAAGGACCTCGTAGTCACTTCCCTCCATCAAACCAATCTACTCCGAATCAAATTAAGAGGCGCATCAACGGCACACGCTCCCCCTCCCCCGACAAATACTTTTAAGCTTTTACTAACTGCAGCATGGGAATAACTCCATCGGCAAGGATGCAACGCCCATCCCTGCTGTTCTGGACCACCTGTTGCTGCAAATGCAATGCATGTCTGCGGACTGGGATTGGAAGGTCGATGGTCCAGTCGCCCATCTTCGTGTCACTCGGGTACAGTTGACAGAAGGATCTGATTGCTGATGCTGCATATATGCGAGCGCACGGGCGAGAAAAGAAATGGGCGCGCTATTATTAATGCCATCACTAACTAACTAACAACTAACTAATTTGTCTGAAGCAAAAATAACAAAACAAAAGAAAAAGGATGATGGAAATCGCAAGTGTCACTTTCCTTCTTTTGCTTCCATGCCTCCTCCTCTTCTTTTCTTTCTCTTCCCGCTTATCGACTAGAATTGTATGTTAGTTACACAACAAAGCCTGCAGTTCACCCACCAGGATTCCAGTCTACCCTGCTCTGTGTGTGTGTGTGTGTGTGTGTGTGTGTGTGTGTGTGTTGCATCGAACTGCACTCCAGGGATGCGACTAACACAGCGCTGGGCAAGGGTCCCTACTGTACATGTACATTACAGACGCCACTGGAATCTCCACCGCTGCACGTATTTATCTCATCTTCGGGATCGATGTCTGTTGTGGACTATTTGGCAGTTGCCATGGGCAGGACCCATTTCTTTCCCCTTCCTTTTCTGTACCCTTATTTTTTACATTTCCCCTTCTTGCACCTTAGTCTTCCGGGTAAAGACCGGTCGGGACGATCCTTGCTTCTGCTGCACTTGTTTCGGGAACTCCACAATTGAAGTTCACTCGGGGTTTGTAAATGTGGCATTCGATTAATGGGGTGAAGGAAATCCCGGGGCGATCTCGATCGGTTACTTCCGGTCCCCGGATGATCACATCCAATTGTGTGTTTACTTTAAGAGGAACTTATGTTTTCAGGTGTTTGTTAGGTAGGTAAGTCGATCAAATATACACACACACTAGTAAATGTCAAATGTCGCCGGGTAACATGGCCACAACGGAAATCGGGAGGATAAAGTAAATGGGCCCAGGTTTCTTGCGATGCCGGTTTAAGGGACAGGAATGTCCGGGAACGTACGAACCAAAGCGACGTGGAATGTTAGATACGAGGAATCTGCACTTGCTAGCATTCCAGCCCTACGGCCGTTTTGAAAAAGTGGAATCGAAGGTCTTGGGGGGAGGTACTTGGTATCCAAGTTTCGGATCGTGCGGTTGCGTTGAATGGGTAAGGGGTGTTGCTAGAGTACTCAGCCCTTCAAGTTATACTGAGCTTAC